CCCCAGGGGCAGGAGGGGCTGTGCTGCCACTGCAGCAGGCGGGTGGGGTCCTGTGATGGGAGCCTGGGTCCTGGGTGGGGTGGGCGTGGCGCAGGGTGGGAAACCCTCCTTCCACGACTGCAGGGCTATAGTCAGAGCAGGAGCAGGAGCAGACTGGAGGGGAAGGAGGGGGGGGCCCTGCCCGCCCAGGGAAGGGGTCCAGGGGCACTCAGCCGTGCTCGTCCGGCCAAAAGGAAGACAGGATGGCCGCACGGCGAGCTGACCGTGACTGCGACCCCGGTGGAGCTCGCTGGCTGTCCACCCTGTGCGCCTCCTCTCGTCCCCTCCGCCCGGCGAAGGGGTTTTGCTGCCCCGCTCAGCCAGCCAGGAAACTGAGGCTCGGAGCGTTCACACCAGCGAGCAGGTGTCCGCGCTAGGCCTGGGCCCTGCGAACCCCGAGCACGCTGGGGGTGGGAGCTGCACCCACGCTCCGGGACGGCTGCGGCGACGGCGTTTCTGTTTGTTCACGTCCTTCTTCCGTTCCTTCTTGTTGTTGTTCACACTTAGGCCTTAAAGGGGGAGGGAGGATGCCATAACCCCGAGGCCTTCCCTCCCGTCCCTCCTCTCCCTTCAAACCCCAAGAAGCCATGGCTACATCCGACGGGACGGGGCCCGAGGAAGATCCCAACGAGGGCAATGCCCGCCACGTGCCGCCGCCTTACGGAGCAGGGACGGGCGGGGGCAGGGCGTGTGTCCTAGAGGCTCGGGGCCTCACTCCGGTCGGGGAGCCCTTCCTCCGTGGCAGGGTGCTCCACCCCCTCTGCCTCAGTTTCCTTTTCCTGAAACGGTGGTGATGACGTAGACGCTACGAGAGCCGCCAGGAAGAACTGTCCCGCTGGGCTGGAGGCCCCAGCAGGGCCTGAGTGTGGTCGGCACTTGTCCCCAGTCAGCATGGCTGTTCTTTCCCCCGCACGAGTGTTTCTGTCCGCGGCTTTTGTCCCAACAGGGGAAGCGAAGGAGATACATGGACGCGATCGGATGGACGAGGCCACTGGGCTGTGACTGACGAGGAGGAGAGCCAGCCCCCGGGGGCCGGGCCGGGGCGGCTCCCGGGGTGTGGAGGGGGGTGCTGGGGGGCAGCCGGGTGCAGCGGTGGGAATGGCTGGGACCTCGGGGAGAGTGAGGGGGGAGTAAGTTCCTACGCAGAGAGGATGGGGCCGCAGGACCCTGGCGACGGTGCCAGGAGCTGAGCTGCAGGCGGCAGTGAGGTGGGGAGTTTCCCGAGGCCCAGGGCAGTGTCTGCCGGGCGCTCAGGTCTCTGTCGGTGACGTCACCCTGACCGCCGCCCAGGAGGTAGCGGCGTTTTGAGGACACCGAGGTCCGGAGACGTGGCTTCGCTTGCCTGCCAACTGGGCAGGGATCTCAGGTCTCCGCCTGGCCAGTTCCAAACGCCCAGGCCATCCTCTGCCCGGGACACGGACGGCCTGGCTTCAAGGAGCCTGAAACCGAGCCAGCCCTGCTGTGGCATCATCTGTCACCCCAGGAGCTCCCTGGGTCACTACCCTCCCCCGCCTCCCCTCCTCCACCTCACGCACCCCCACAGCTCTGGGTAGACCACCCAGATGGAAGGGCAGGATCCCACTGGCTGGACCTTCTGGGCTCTGGAAGCTTCCACCACAAGCTGCAGGCCCAGAGAGGAGGCCCTCTGAGCCAGGAGGGCCCAGCAGGAGCCTCTGGCCTCCGCATTGCAGGCAGGGCTCCGGGAAGAGGGATCCTCGGAGCCCGGAGAACAGAGCTCCAGGGGGCTGGGCTGGGCTGTGGCCCCCAGGACACCCTGGACCCTCCCAGGTCCCCCATCTGAGCAGAGGGCAGGCTGTGCTTCCCACAGGCATCCTTCCAAGAGCAAAGGGTATCCTCTCCGTGCCCCCTCCCTCTCCCCTCCACCCCCGCCCCGGGGTGCTGTGAGCTGCCATCTCAAGGCCCCGCACTCCAGCTGGCTCTGCAAGGCCTGGGGGTTGCTCAGTGACCCTGCCCTAGGGCCTCTGCAGGCCCCCCCAGCCGTCCCTGCCCTGGCCCTGGGGAGGGCCTGGAGGACCGGCCCGCGGCTCCTCGCGGCGGGGGGGGGGGGGGGGGGGGGGAGCGCCACCGCAGCAGCAGGTCTGAGCCACCGCGGCCACCGCACCTGCTGCGCGGCCGGAGCCCGGCGCTGGGTGAGAGGGCGGAGGAGAGGCAGGGCTGGAGGGGGCCACCGAGGGGTCGTCAGATCCAGGTCAGCAGCATGACAGCATCGACATGACTGCAACCCCCGTCCCGTGGGCCGGTTCTCCCCCCCCAACTTCAACCCTAACCCCCCACCCCCCGGCCAGCCCGGCGCAGCGGCTCTGCAGGGTCCGCGTCGCCCGCCCCAGACCTGGGCAGGAAGCCCTCCCGACCAGCCCGCAACCTCTCCCCGCCCCCCACCCCCACCCCGGAGGTCTCCGCCGGCTTCTGGCTGGGGGGCCGGCCCCGCCAAAGAGGGGGGCGTTTGCCCAGGGGCGGGGGCCGAGGCCGGACTCAGCCCGGCGGCCAGCGCGGAGGCGGCGGCGCTGGTGGCGGCGGGCGCGCGCCCCGCGGTCGGCCCGGCCCGCCGGCGCCTTTAACTGGGGCCGCGGCGGCAGGTGCGGCGCTGCGTGCGGGGCTGCGGCGGGGCCGGGCGCTCCGCTCGCTCCGTACGCGCCGCCGCCGCGGGACTGCAGAGCCGCTCCGGTGGCCGCCGCGCCCGCACCCGCCGCCGCCGCGGCCCCAGGACATGGAGGCTCCGGGAGCGCGGCCCGAAGGGTACATCGGGGTCGGGGCGCTGGGCTGCGGGCCCCCGGCGCCACCTGCAGCGCGGGGGTCGGGCTGAGCCCCGGGCGGGGGAGCCGGGCCGGGCCGGGGGCGAGGGGCCGGCGCCCCGCGGGAGGCGGACGCCGAGGGGGCTGGGGACCCCGGGAGCGCAGGGCGCGGGGCGCGGGGCGGAGGGCGCGGGGCGCCGGCGGGGATGCCAGGCGCCGCTGCCGCAGAGCCGCCGCGCCCGGTAAATAGCTCCGCGGCCGGCGGGACCGGGGCGCCGGCGGGACCGGGGCGCCGGGACGCCGGGCTGGGGCGCCTCCGGCCCGGGATCCACCGGCTCTGCGGCCGGGAAGGGCTTCTCCGCTTCCCCGCGGCCGCCCGCCCGGGAGGCGGCTGAGGCCGGGAGGCCGCCGCTCCTCGGCCCCCGCGCGGCTCCGGAGTTTCCGGGTGAGGATGGCGCCGGGGGTCCCCGGGCTGCGCCCCGCAGGCCCCGGAGCGGGCTGCGCCCGCGGGCCGGGCAGGAGGGGGTTAAGCGGCGCCGCGGCGGAGGGTCTAGGCCGCCGCGCGGAGACGAGCGCGGGGCGCGCGCGGCGGAATCCCGGCCGGGCCCGGGGCCGGGGCGCGGGGCGCGGGGCGCGGGGCGCGGGCCCAGACCCTCCCGCTCCGACCCGGGCGGGCGGCATGGGGCCGGCAGGGGTCCGGCCTCCAGGCCCCCCTCTTGCTGCCGCCACAATGCGGGGCAGCCGGGCTGGCCGCCCGCTGCCCCTGCCCGGGGGGGAGGGGGGGAGTAGGAGGAGGAGGAGGAGGGGGGCTTCTCTCTGGGGAGAGGTCGGTGGTCCAGCGCCTGCCCGGCTCCAAGGCCAAGCGCCGGGAGGGAGGGAGGCCTGCAGCCCGGGGATGCCCGGGGCGAACGGCCCTGGGCCCGAGCCAGGCAGCGCTGTGGAGCGAGCTCTCTCTCTGCGGGAGGAGCCCCCGGCCGAGCTCTGAGGGAGCAGCGTGTGTGCGGGGGTCCCTGCGGAGGTCAGAGCGGGGGCAGCCTGCAGTGTGGGGAGCTCTCGGCTTCCCGGGAGGCTGGGCCTGGCCTGGGGTCCCTCCTGATGGCTGCTGGGGACCCACAGGGGACCTGGCTCAGCCCGGAGGCCCCTGGAGCAGACAGACCCGGCCAAGGCTTGCTCCAGCCCAGAGGAGGCTGAGGGGGGTGGAGGACAGGAGCTGGTGGGGAGTCTCAGGTGTGACCCCAGGACCCAGGACGGGAAGGGCATGTAGAAGGGAGGCTGCAGGGGCCCTGAGGCTAGGCACCAGCTGCCCTGCAGCCCTGCCGCCCCCCCCCCCCCTCTGAGGCACTGTCCCACCTCCTGAGACTCCGGCTTCTGCTGACCTTTGCATCTCGACTCCTTCCTTCCACAGGCTCCGGCCCCACGCGCGGCTGCCCTGGCCTCCCGCGTGCCCCTGACCAGGCCCCCGCCGCCCGCAGCCCGAGGCCCAGCCCAGACCTGGAGCTCACTCACCTCCAGGACCTGGCGCCCGCCCTCCCGCCCAGGATGACTCACCATTCTTTCTCGCCGAGCGTGAAAGTGTGACCCGCGTGTGCAGCTAGGGTTCCCTCGCCAGCTGATCCGCTGCTCTGCGAGGAAACGCACTCCTGTCCCTGCCTCCCAGGTAAGTCAGTCTCCTGTTTGATAACAGCCACGCATGGTGGAGGGCCCGCATGGGGACGGTGAGGGGGACCCGGGTCCGAGGGCTGCCACCGCCAGTACCTCCCAGGGCGCAGGCATCTGCAAGACCTTAGCTCAGCGCCTGCGGGAGGGCTCTCTTCCAGCCTCCAGTCCGGGGTTATGCTCCTGCATGAATGCAAAGGGGCCCGCCACCTTCCCTCAGTGCAGGGCATTCCAAAGGGGCCCCTCCATGACCCCCAGCCAGGCTCCGAGGTGAAATGAAACTGTGCTTTTCCATGGCTGGGACCGTGCCTCCGGTGGGAGACACAAGACTAGCAACCCAGCCGGCCCCGCGCGGCCTCACGTCCTTCACGGGCTCTTGTCTTTCAGCCACGTCGTGTCCCCGGCTCCCAGAGGGCCCCCGGGCTCCCCCGCAGGGGCCCAGGCCCATGCGCCCGCCTCTCCCGGGGCCACCGGAGGCAGCACCCTGAGCTCCTGCCACCGGGCAGCGGGAAGGCAGGCGTGTAGCGTGAGGCGCTCTGCTCAGCCCCCACTATGACCGTGGCCACCGGAGAGCCGGCGGACGAGGCCGCGGCCCTCCCGGGGCACCCGCAGGACACCTACGACCCCGAGGCCGACCACGAGTGCTGCGAGCGCGTGGTCATCAACATCTCGGGGCTGCGCTTCGAGACGCAGCTGAAGACCCTGGCCCAGTTCCCCGAGACCCTCCTGGGCGACCCCAAGAAGCGGATGCGCTACTTCGACCCGCTGCGCAACGAGTACTTCTTCGACCGCAACCGGCCCAGCTTCGACGCCATCCTCTACTACTACCAGTCCGGCGGCCGCCTGCGCCGCCCCGTCAACGTGCCGCTGGACATCTTCTCGGAGGAGATCCGCTTCTACGAGCTGGGCGAGGAGGCCATGGAGATGTTCCGGGAGGACGAGGGCTACATCAAGGAGGAGGAGCGGCCGCTGCCCGAGAACGAGTTCCAGCGGCAGGTGTGGCTGCTCTTTGAGTACCCGGAGAGCTCGGGGCCCGCGCGGATCATCGCCATCGTGTCCGTCATGGTCATCCTCATCTCCATCGTCAGCTTCTGCCTGGAGACGCTGCCCATCTTCCGGGACGAGAACGAGGACATGCACGGCGGCGGGGTCGTGACCTTCCACGCCTACGCCAACAGCACCGTGGGCTACCAGCCGTCCACCTCCTTCACCGACCCCTTCTTCATCGTGGAGACGCTGTGCATCATCTGGTTCTCCTTCGAGTTCCTGGTGCGCTTCTTCGCCTGCCCCAGCAAGGCCGGCTTCTTCACCAACATCATGAACATCATCGACATCGTGGCCATCATCCCCTACTTCATCACGCTGGGCACGGAGCTGGCCGAGAAGCCCGAGGACGCCCAGCAGGGCCAGCAGGCCATGTCGCTGGCCATCCTCCGCGTCATCCGGCTGGTAAGAGTCTTTCGGATCTTCAAGCTGTCCCGCCACTCCAAGGGGCTGCAGATCCTAGGGCAGACCCTCAAGGCCAGCATGCGGGAGCTGGGCCTGCTCATCTTCTTCCTCTTCATCGGGGTCATCCTGTTCTCTAGCGCCGTGTATTTCGCGGAGGCCGATGAGAAAGAATCCCAGTTCCCCAGCATCCCCGACGCCTTCTGGTGGGCCGTGGTCTCCATGACCACCGTGGGCTACGGGGACATGGTCCCCACGACCATCGGGGGCAAGATCGTGGGCTCGCTGTGCGCCATCGCGGGCGTGCTCACCATCGCCTTACCGGTCCCCGTCATCGTGTCCAACTTCAACTACTTCTACCACCGGGAGACGGAGGGGGAGGAGCAGGCCCAGTACTTGCAAGTGACGAGCTGCCCCAAGATCCCGTCCTCCCCTGACCTAAAGAAAAGCAGGAGTGCCTCCACCATCAGTAAGTCCGACTACATGGAGATCCAGGAGGGGGTGAACAACAGCAACGAGGACTTTAGGGAGGAAAACTTGAAAACGGCCAACTGCACGCTGGCCAACACAAACTATGTGAACATCACCAAGATGCTAACCGATGTCTGACGGCAGCCCCCCCTCTGAGCGCACCCGCGGCTCCAAGGGCCTGGGCGCAGGCCGTTCGTTACATAACAGCCTGCGCTGCAGTCGGTCTGTTTCCACAGTGTGTCACCCGGTCCTGCATGGGAAGCAGTTAGTCGTGCAAGTGACATCTTTTGATTTTTGGCTTAGAACACAGAGTAGCTATGTCCATGGCTTTTCACGCGAACCTATGCTGGCGCCGGCTTCAGGGGGTTTCCAAAGAGGGCAAGTCGCCTGTGGAGCTGGGATCTTGAGGGGCCACCTCATAGCACATACATACCCTGAGACCCCCCTTTCCCTCCCTGGGTTAATGCGCACAGCATCCAGGAGAGGCGCACACACCCCCCGCAGCCCTCTCCTTCCCCCCTCCCCCCTCAGCCCCTCCCATCAGAGCCCCCCTCCCTCCCATCGGAGCCCCCCTGCACAGGGAACCAAGGGGGCTTGGCTTTGATGTGCCGGTAACCACGCGAGAGGTCCCATGTGGCACGGGGGAAAGAACACGCGGTCCTGTGTGCTGGAATCCCTTTCTCGGTCACAGGCTGGGGTCTGTGGTTCGCAGCTGCCAAGTAGCTGCTCCGGAGGCTGGTGTTTCATAACGGAAAATGCTGCATTTGGTTTTTTTTTTTTTTTTTTTTTTTTCCCCCTCTGCAGCGTCGGTGAGAGAGGGAAGCCCGGGGGAGGGAGCGTCCGTGTGACCTGCAAGTTGCCAAGTCTCTCCTTTGCTCCCTCAGGCCTGTGGAGAGGCGCTAGCACTCCCAGGGACCGTCCACTTCAGACGGCACCGTTTTTTGCAGACTGCCGGGTCACAAAAGCACGTCCCGTCTCCGGGTCACCCCGGGGGAGGAGGGGGGGTTGCGGGCGTCTGCTTTCCCGGCTCGCCTGACGCTGCAGCGGGGTGGCCAGCGACGCCGCAGAGCTGCATGGGTGTGCTTGTTGCATGAACCTCAATATTTACAACACAGGAGACAATCTATTTTCTTAGTAGCCTACACAGTATTCACCTTTAGAGTATTAATAGCCTAGGAATGGCATTGAACTGGGGTGTTCCACCCCATGGCCTCCCCCCAACCCCCATCGGAAGAGAAAAAGCCCTCAATCAGGAGGAAAAAAATAGACTGACTATTCAGAATGGGGACCCAAACTCTTGGCCCTCCAGCCCACCCCCATCCCTGCTCTTCCGGATGGGGGCACAGACCTCGGCAAAGCCAGGAGAGCGAGCGGGGAAGGCAGTGTCTGAACACCTCGGCAGCTGAGCCAGGGACAGGACTGGACAGCCGTCTGGGGCCTCGGGCCCTGAGGAAGGCCACCTAGGGATCCAGTGTATATAAATCTACCCCGGGTCTCCCTCACCAGTTCCTCCACTGGCTAGCTCTAGAAACAGTTGCATTCGGACCTTGTACAAGCTTATGCAATATTTTTGACACAGGGCAACTTATGCATGTGTTTGACGATGTGCACTACAGTGTCTGTATGTATATGCATCCATATACATACATGTGTGTGTGTGTATGTCGGTACGCACACACACACACACATCTACCCGCTCCCTGGAGTTCAGGTTCAGGAGCAAACCCCCTGCTTGGTGGGCCGGTTATCGACGAGGCCTCACGGGTCACTGACCTCCCCGTAACCCCACCGGCCTGGGTTTGCCGCCACCGCCTCAGGCACGCCCGTCTCCGCGGATTCGTGGACGTTCGCATTGTCTCTCTGCCCTCCATGTGCTGCAGCCTCGGTCCCCGCGGCTGAGGCTTGTCTTACCGCGCGCACAGGGGCCCCGCGGCCCTCGCGGCTCCCGCTGTCCCGGGCCACCCCGCCCCAGGCCTCCCCTCCGCCGTCCTTCCGTGGTCACCCCCTCCATTCTCATCGCGCTCCACCCCGCGCTGTCATTGCCATCGGCTCCGCGTCAGCCCCTCCCACGAGCCTTTCCCTCAGGGCCAGAGTGGACCGCCTGCTCTGAAGCCAAGGATGCGAGTGAGGGGGGCTTCGGGGGACCCTGTCCCAAGGGTCTGGACTTAGGGAGCCTCCTCCTGGGGAACTTGAAAAGCCGGGGCCCACGGGGGAAGGCCCTGGATGGGCCACAGGCATCGTTGCAATGGACAGGCTCGGACTCTCCCTGGTAAATCGGCAGCCAGAGCTGCTCCCCAGGCCACGGGAGGGTGAGGATCGGGCCCGGGAGAGGCGGAGAGGGATTGAGCACGCACGGCCTCCCGGCAGAGTCAGGCTGGCCCCGGGACGGGGTGAGGAGGGGAGGCTTTGCCTCACAGCCTGGGCCTCTCTGCCTTTCAACATAATAGCTTAAATGCCCCCCACAGGGAGGCGTGTGGCCGGGCTGCCCACTCGTGCGTGGCCCCAGCTCCAGCCTCCCTGTTGGCTATTCAGCACCTACAGTTACTGTGGGGCTGGGGCACCAGCTCAGGGTGCTTAGGCCCAGGGTGCTCACTAGTTCCTGGTCACCCGCATCCCCAGGTGTCTGCAGAGCCTCTGTGCTTCTCTCCCCCTCCTCGTGGGAGACGGTGCTGAACTTCCGAGACATGGGGCGAGCGGGACCCAACCCATTCCGAAGGCCTAGGTCAAGGGTAGATGTGTTACCCCCATGTCCTTGACCCAGGACTGCAAAACCTTCACACACACGGACACACGTGCATGCACACCCACATTCAAAGAGGTACATTGTTGCCACGTACACCAAGATAAAACACGCAACACACATGCAAAATACACAGAGACCAGATTAAGATAGGTACGTGGTTATATCCGTATCCAAAATACACATCCAGCATACACACAGAATGGACGTACCAATGCAGAACATATACAAAGACCTACATGCACATGTACAAGACGTGACCTGCACCACGTGCAACACACACACACACACACAAACACAAGGAGTGCACCTACGGAATACAGGAAGGCTAATCAGCTGTTGCTCTGCACTCCAGATACACACACTCGGCGTAAACACACGATGTATTGACTCTTGCAAGGCACACAACAGGCAGCACACACAACCAAGACACACGATGTACCTGAGATGCATACATGTACTCAGACCCATTGCTCCGCCCCCAGAGCTATAAATTCCTCAGTATACACAGAAGATCAGATGTAGTCACCTGGGTCCACACCCCTCCGTATCCTTCCAGAAGTCTCTTCCTCTAGTCTCTCCTCTCCCTCCTACTCCCCGATTTCACAGAAGTAGCCCCCAGCATTCAAAGCAGAAAGATGGGGTCCCCATTGTCAAGATCTGTGATGAAGGCCGGGAATCTCCTGGGGTTTCTGCCTATCCACCTTCCACCAGAAACCGGGCTTCAGCCTGTGGCAGGGCCTGGGACAGCGCCTGGTCTGTGAACACACCTCCTTGCCCTGCCCTTTCCCTCCAAGCCAGTCCATACTGAACCCAGTAACCCCAGCTCCCAGCTCCTGGGCTCTCTGGACCCAGACCCCCTCCGTGAGAAGCAGCGATGGTTTAAGAAGCGAGTGTCCTGGGCCCAGAGCCCGAGGGAAGATGCCCCAACACGCTCTCAGCCCACAGACCTCATTGCCCCTCCAACCCCAGTGGCGTTGTGGGGGGAGGGGGGCAATCTGGTCGGAAAGTCGGGACTTCCTACAGATTTCTCTCTTAAAAGGAGCTCCCTTTGTGCTTGTGGGTCCCCTCAGTGGGCGTTCAACCCCTGCATCCTACCCCCCCCCCATGCCCTGCCTCCCTCCCGCCATCCAGCTTCAGTAACACACAACGAAAGACGAACTTGACGCTACACGAGTGAGCGGCCCCTCTCTGTCAAAGGGCCTCCCTTGGACCCCATGTCCCAAGCCCCGGAAGTGCTTGGTGCGATGGCCCGCTGCTGGGGATTGCCCGCGGGGAGGACCAGGTCAGAGCCGGGCATGTGTTGGCAAAGTCTTCCCCTCACATGGAGGCCGGGGGTGAAGTCAGGTGTCTGATCAGGCCCCTGGGTATGTAGAGGTGTCCCACCTGCTCTCTCAAGGACCGTCACAGCTCCCGGTCTCCACGGAGGGAAGCCATGGCCGCGGGGACCGGATGGATGGATGGATGGATGGGCCCACCGTTGCAAAGTTCATGCAAAATGCCGGCCTTTCCAGGGTGTCCATTTCCCTTTCGCTCTGGCAGGTGCCTCTGCAGGGTCCGCCTCTCAGGAAAGGTGGGGTTCCCCGGAGGCTGGAGGGAAAAAGGTTCCAGGCCGGTGGGAGGGCTGTCGGGGAGAGAGGGGGGTGGAGAGAGGGAGGCCGAGCCGGTCCCATTTCAGAGGAAGCTCTTCAGGGGGCGGATATTAAGCAAGGACGGAGTGAAGGCTGGGTGCTCCCCGAGATTCTGTGGTGTCGGACCCCCGCTCTTCCTCTCCCGTCTCCCGCCCCTCCCTACCCCCCTTCCAGTTGGGTGTCTGAGGATGGACAGGAGTGTCACCAGGAGGTTAGCCTTATAAGGGGGGCCCCAGGGGGAGCGTGTCCAGACCCCACTGCCTGATGTGGAAGGGGCTCCCCTGAAAGCTGAGTTGGCCCGAGCCCCCAGCCCGGGTGAGGCGCGCAGTAGGGCTTCCTGTCTGCTCCCTTTGGGCCTCTCGCTCCACTGCGGTGACGTCCTGTCTGCTCCCTTTGGCCCAGTGACGTCCTGGTCAGCATACGCACCAGGCCAATCCATGCGGACAAGGCAGTGCCCTCTGCAGAGGCTTGGGCTGGGGGTTCGGGGCTGCCCCCCGAAGAGGGCTGGGGGCTGGCTTTCCCATAAGGAAACCCCAGGATGGTTAGCAAGTTGCATGCGAGGTGGCACCCTCCGCCCGTGTCCGGCAGGAAGCGCGCGGTGCTTTGGCGTGTTACTCGGCGGACAGTGGGGAGCCCCGCCCCAGGTCTGGCTCTTTGGGGGACGTTGCCAGGAGCCTCCACCGGGTGGTGGCCACCTGGTCCAGGAAGGCAGGTCCACGTGGGCTATGAAGTCCAGGGGGCTCTGTGGCAGCACCGTGGAGGGCCCC